CCCAGGCTTCCCTTGCAAAATAGATCTGTAATCTCAATGGGATTTGCCTGGTTAAATAAATAAAGGTTTATAATACTTCACGTCTGCCTTCAACACCATGATCCCCCAAACCCTGATGGACAAACTGCTCACACGACTAAGCCCCTCCATTTGCAACTGGGTCCTGGACTTCTTAACAAACAGACCACAGTCAGTGAGGATCCACAACATCTTCTCCTCCACCATAACCCTCAGCACTGGCTCCCCTCAGGGTTGTGTGTTGAGCCCCCTCCTGTTCACTCTGCTCATGTAGGACTGCACACCTGCCCACCCAGGCTGTCATATTGTAAAGTTTGCTAATGGTACAGCGGTGGTGGTGGGATGCATCACAAACAATGATGAGTTTAGCTACTGGCAGGAGGTGGAACACCTGGAGACCTGGTGCAGTCAGAACAACCTTCACATCAATGTGAAGAAGATGAAGGAGATGATTGGATTTCAGAAGGGACTAACATACCTATCACCCTCTGAATATAGGAGGATCTGCAGTGGAAGTTCTCCAGTTATAGGTACTTGGGTGTGCACCTGAGATACAATCTCACCTGGGGCAGCAAAACTACCAGCCTGATCAGGAAGGCACATTAGACACTCTACTTCCTCAAGTGGCTGAGGTGAGCTGGACTCCAGCTGGACCTCCAGATGCAGGGAGGAGGTTGAGGAGCATTAAGTGTAGAACCACTAGACTGAAGAACATCTACCCTGAGGCTGTTAGACTCATGAATCTCTAACCAGAATAATCACTGTGAAAAATCACATCATGTTGCTGCTGATCTGTTTCATGTTGCTGCTGATCTGTTTCATGTTGATGTGTTCATGCGTGCTCATCTGCTCACACAGACTCATGTTCATGCTGTTGTTCAACATAATGTTTTTATTGTTTTTATGCTATTTGTACTTAGAGTTAGAGTTTGCTTACCAGTGCTTTTTTGCCCCCACTCCCGTCCAGCAGGAGGCTGAGGAGCATTAGAACCACCAGACCAGGTCTATTCAGCTAAACTGCTCAGGGGGCCACAGTTACTGAAAGCCAGCAGCTCAGGGGCTGGACATCCAGCAGTTAAAGTCATTATGTAAATAAGCCAAGTATTACAATGATCTGTTACCTTTTGTTTGTTTTATTGCACTGAGTCATAAATGCAATAAACAGAATCTTAGACACTTATCCATCCATCCATTCTCTTCCGCTTATCCGGGGTCGGGTCGTGGGGGTAGCAACCTAATAGGGAGGCCCAGACTTCCCTCTCCCCAGCCACTTAGACCAGTTTCTCCGGGGGAATCCCAAGGCGTTCCCAGGCCAGCCAAGAAACATAGTCCCTCCAGCATGTCCTGGGTCTTCCTCTGGGTCTCCTCCCAGTTAGACACTTATATACTGCTCATTTTTTATTATGCTTTACATATATATATATATATATATATATA